ACTGAGCACAGATGCACTGATGTGTTCACTGCCATTCTTTAGCTGACTCTCACTGCTTATAGAGGCTTCAAGCTCAGATAGGTTTCCTTCTCTTCCCCAAATCACTCAAAATGGATCACTCTGCAAATACCTCACCAGCAGTGAGGCACCATAGGCATGTCTCAATGTCAGGGCTGTGTGGTAGCAGAATAAACAGATGAAGTGAATTTACTCATCCCCAATTATTTTCTTTTCTTTTTTCTTTTTTTTTTTTTTTTCCTGGCAATGTGGCAAGTTGCCTGGGGAAGGATGAGGAAGAGGGAGTTCCCCTCAAACCCAGCAAAGACTATAGCAAATTACATCTGCATTTTGGCAAAACTTGCATGTCCAGGGAAAACAGGTGCCCTGTGAAGTTGATGTTTGACAAAAAGGCAGCAAACCAAGAGCTGCTCTTTTGGCATCATCCAGGACTGTGACTTTTGTCTCACCCCAAAGCAGCTCAGATCTCAAACTGAGCATTCTGTTTGGAAAATACTTTGAAATACCAAAACAGTTTTGCAACACAGTCTTAATAAAAGCATTAAAGCATTATAGCTCATGAAGCATGCACTTGGTCAGTGTCCTGCAGACAGTGAGAGCTTTATGGGTATATATTCCTTAATAATGTTGAGATGGGACACTCAGGTTTTGGCCACAGGAATCTTCTTCTATGCATTACCTTAACCAGGATTGTACTATCAAGTCAATCAGAAAAGCAGGTTTATTTTCACACAGTCTGCAGATGCAGAGCTGAGCCCCCTCTCAGTTGCACAGAGAACCCTACGTATTTCAATTGTGTGGACATTTAAAAAAAAAAATAAAAAAATAAATGAATGCAAGTTAATTGGGAGGTGAATGCAAAAAAATGGAATTTTCCTTAAATCAGGAGAAATCAACAAATGTTTGCAGTGTGGTCACACTCACAAATCTCATCAGTGCTAAAAGCTCCAAAAATATCCTTCTTCTAAGTCTTCCCTAAACAGGCAAATTCTTCTACTAGTGACTGGTAAAGGATCAAAAAATACCACAGAGTGAAGACTTATGGGCTACATCTCAGACACACTTTTAAAAGGATAGTAAAGGCTTACTATGACTGTAGCTCAATGCACTATTGATCTTGCACAAATGTCCTATAAGGAGATACTCATCTCACTGAGGGAAGCATTGCAGGAAGGCTACTTTGGACACCATGGATCATTGCTATGGTCAACCAGCCTCCACAGAAAGGGCAGCACAGAATCACAGAATATGCTGAGTTGGAAGGGACCCTGATCCAGCTTCCTGCCATTTCCCTCAGTTCTGGCATTGGTCACAGGAGGGAAGAGATCATGACCTGCCCCATCTCTTCCCCTTGTGAGGAAGCCACAGACTGCAACCAGGTCACCCCTCAGCCTCCTCTTCTCCAACCTGAATCACAGAATCATAGAATCACAGAATTATTCAGGTTGGAAAAGACCCCTGGGATCACTGAGTCCAACAACCATCCCTACTCTGCAAAGTTCTCCCTTTCACTTGGAATAATCCAAGTCACCTCAGCTGCTCCTCATAAGTCATCCCTTCCAGACCCTTCACCATGCTCATGGCTCTCCTTTGGACACTGTCTAATAGCTTGATGTCTTTTCATGCCACTGGAAGTTTAACCTTGTTGCTTTCAGGTAGCCATCCAATGCAACCTGCATAACCACCTTTCTTTTCCAGAGGTCACAGTAAGGCTGGAGCAGCTTGTGAAAAAATGCACTTTTTATTTTTGTTTCTTTTGTTTTTTGTAAATACTGGCTTTGCATTTGTTTAATAAAGTTTTGTTCTCAGGGAAAAGATAAATAAATCTGATGGCACACAGGGAAGCCTTATCCTCTCAGTAACATTTAAGAGGGGATGCCTCTGGACCTGAGTCTCTGTGTTCAGCTGGGCAAAGACATTCTTCACCCCTGATACGTTGGGTCAGTAAACAATAAATGTGGTCAAAACTGATACATGGGAAAGTATCATACCCTTCACAGAACATTTCTCAGGTCACAGGCATGTTTTCATTTTCAGCTTCTCTTTTGAGGGTGTTTAGAGACTAACCAGACATACCCATTCACAAGAGCAGAGACTGGTTTTCATTGTCTCTTAGAGACAGTTGCTGTATCTGGGCATTTAATTTTATTTGCCTCAATTAAAAGCTATTTACCTTCAGTGTCTAATGCTGGAGAATCCCCTCATCCCACACCCTCTGGCTAAGGAGGCAGACAAATGTTTTGGGAGCTTGCATTATTAAATCAAAGGTCAGGGAAAAAAAAACTAATCAATTTTTCCTGCAACATCTCAGTACTTAACAAGCTGTTTGGAGCCCAGCATCACTGGAGAAAGCTGTCAGCATTGCCTACTGGCTCTAGCTCCTCATCCCAGCTCCATGCACCTTTTTTCCTTTTGCTCCCAATTCATCCAGGGTCAGCTGCATTCAGCCAGCTCTGCCTAGAGCTTCTTATGGGCATCTATATTTCACTTGCCAGGGCTTCCTGCTCCAAGCATGTAGCACACAAGTATTTGTGCTGGCTCTGAAAAGAGCTTTGTCCAAGATGATTCACTGTTGGGTCTCAGATATAACCCACTCACACATCAGCAGCCAAGTCTGTCTCCCTGACTAGAGCTGTTTGAGATGTTTGAGATAAACTCTCCCAAAATCACTTGCCACAGATACAGTCCTGATCTTGAACAATTCAGCTATCAAAAGGAAAGAAACCACTTCAGAAAAGGATTAACAGTAAGAAGTGTGTCCTCATCTGATGCCTTTATGAGTCCTGTGCATAAGAGGCAGAAAATCTGTATACATTTGGAAAGGAGTGATGCAACTTGGTGACTTCTTTTGGTTTGTTTTAGCAAGACTCTGCAGCTAGGTAAGCAAATCCTTTGCACTCTACAGGCTATGGTAGAAGAATGTCCTATGTGGTGGGACCAGAATTCACCATGAATCCCTGCTCTCTATTCCTCCTTGCCTGCAGAACAGTCTCATTTTAGGCAGAGTGACAGTCACCTAGTTATTATGTAAGTATAAAGTGTGGCAATTTTACTATTTAGATATCCATAAACACTATCATTTTTCTAATAGCTAAGGCTATAAACGTTCCAAATATTCACTCACTGCTCCCCAACCATCTTCCAAGTTAGAGGATGTTCAAGGAGAAACATGCATCAGCTTGTGAAGGAAAGGGGTGAAGTGGCAAAAAAGGAAGATCAAGCCATGATTTGTGGCCAGGGAAGAAGAAAACACTGCCCCAAAGATGCCACCTGAAGAGCTGATGCTCTGCTTCTTGCTGAACACAGAAATATGCAGCACTGGCAGCTCTTCTGACTCATGGCATCCTGTTTTTTTGCTGGTGCAGCTCTCATGAGAGACAGGCAGAGATAAAAGTCTGGGAACACTGAGGGGAAGATTGCTGGTCCTCCTCAGCTTGGCACCCTGCAACTGTTCAGTCTGGAGATGCAACCAACCACATGGCAGAAGTTAGGAGGGACCTTCTTCTAGAGCATGGGGAGAGGGGAGGAACCAGCAAGATAGGAGGAGACAGCTGGAGGAATTCTGGAGCTGATGGCAGGGGCAGGGAAGCACAGTTAAAATAAAAATAAGCTGCATTTAGTTCTCTGGACAATTAATGATAATTCTGAGATCAAAAATAATTCTTGCAATTAGCACATCATGCATCTATTTATGTAACTGCTCAGGAAAGAAGAAAATTATCTAGCCATGTTTATTAAGTGTTCTGAAGAGTCTAGGAATTGATTCTCTAATTTAAATGAAGAATAATGTAGGAATGCAAGCACAATAGCTGCTCTGCATGATAGAAAGGCTTTCCTGGGTTAAGATCTCCAGCAGTTACCAGGGTGGTTTATGCTACAATTCTGTACATGTAAACATCTTTCTTGATTACACTGATCTCCACAGGCTTTTTACTCTTACATCCTCTCTGATTTCCTAAATTTAGTTCCAAATCTTCTGACTATTATTACTTTTACTATTTTTAATGCCCAAGTTTGCAAACCAGAGTATATGTGAATTAGGGCAGATCTGATGCACTGATGAAAGCAAGAAATTGGAGAGAGTAGGGGAGAGACTGCAAACCAGTCTGAGAGTTTAGATTGTATTGAGAAGGTCAGTTAAGTCCATCAGACAAATTACTGTGTATAAATCAAATATAAAGAAAGATAAACCAAATTCCCCTCATTCTTCAAAGCTGAATCTCAGCAGGAACTGCAGCCACATACCCCAAATCAGAGCCAATCCTAAGTGCTTGAGTTTTGCATGCAAGCTGCATGAAGGGAAGTAGCTTTAATAAGTTGTGCTACATTTGGAAAAGCCATTTTAATTCTCCAATTAGCATGCACACAATGAAAACTAACTGTGCATGTTTGTGTATACACACATCTAGGAGAGAGGGTTTAATGAACTGTATCTATTGCAAGAGCGACTGAAGTTTCATTTTCTCAATGCTGTGATTTAAGTTCCAACACCACAACACACTTTTCTGCCTATAAAATACCTTTTTGCTCCTTCTCCCCTTTTTTTTTTTTTACCTCTTGGATTCATGGTCTTTGGCAAAGGAGGGAAGGGAGGAAGAAAAGAAACAAAGCAAAAAAGCTACACAGGCTTCACATGAGAAATAAATGTTAAACCCACCACAACAAAAACAACCCACGACAAAAAAAATAACAACACATACATGACCACAGAAAACCCTCCTTCACTCTGGATCATCATTTTCTGTTATCTACCTACCATTTTCTGGCACCTGAAACCAGCAAGAGCAAAGCTTTATCCAATCAATACCTGCCCTACCATCATTAATCACTGACAGAAAGGAACAAAACTAAGGAAGCTTGATAAAAAAGTGTCCAGTCATATAAAAAATGGACAGAAGAAAGCGTGAGGATAGATGAGGTAAAAAAAAACACATGAAAAGCCTGGGACAAAGAGAGGTTTGTAGCAATTCAAAAAGACTCACAGGCCATCCTGTAGCTCTTGAGTATCATTTGAGGTCCCCAGAGATCGAAGGCTTCTTTCCAGAGAGGTCACTGTCAACAGCAGAGAAAGAAAAGGTAAGGAAGCCAGAGAAAAAAAAATAAATATATATACAGGATTTTTTTCTCATTTGTTTGTCTTTTAATTAATTTTCTTTCAAAACAGCACAATGAAGTAGTGTTTGGGAAGGTACCTCATGAGAAAAAAGGGATAAAATCTGGCAATGACCATTGGAATGGATTCGTTTGGTCCCTTGGACACTAAAATGGTGAAGAAACGTGTTGTGGTCCATGATTGCTCCATCCCTCCACCCCATGGACCTTGCAGAAATCTCTGACTCTGCCAGCCCCAAACTTTTTAACTTTTCATGTTTCAGCAGCCCCATGAAATTCTCAGGACTGGAGGCAGTTGGGCTTTCTCCCAGGAGACCTGGGCAGCCTTCTTGGGAGTGGGAAACCACTGCTTATCCTCCTGAGGAGGTCCATGCCTTGAGGACTCAGAGCTGCACATGGACTATTTATAACTGGAAACGCATCCTCAATGAAGACTGAATATTTGCATAGTGATAATTGTTGCTCCAAATATCAACCAAGAGGCTGAACATGGTTGTCCATTCTAATATCCCCCTGTGCCATTCTTCAAGACTTGAAAACTCAAAATCTTTTCTATATTTTGGCTCAGGTAAAATGGGATGCTCTGCTGTGATCATCTCCTATGTTTGAGTTAGAGCTTCTTGGACTTTTCCATCAGCAGAAGAGACAACTCTACCTTAATGTCTGCTGGAAGCTGGAGACATAGTCTGATTTGCAATACACAGTGACTTCAGATTTAAGAAATATATGTGTGCTTCTGTGTCTGAGTATACAAAAAGTGGATTACTGTTGTCTTTTCACACCCTTGAAAGTTTACGGTCTCAAAGTCACTCTGAAATGAACAGCTGGTCACTGCTTTGGACTTAGGGTATCCAGTATGTAAAGTACTTCAAGATCTTACACAATGAAGGATGCTAAATAAATTATATTCTTAATATTTAGATGTGGGATTTTTTCAGGACACTTGGAGTTGTAAAACCTCATAACCCATTACCATTCATTCCAAAGACAAAATTTGGCATAATTTAAAAATACTTCTGGGACCATCAACCCTACAAAGTAGCAAAAGCACTTGCGTGGACATTGAATTTCAAGAAACCTGTTTGTATCATCTGTGCAACTCCAGAAGGGAAAATAGCAGCTACAGCATTGAGGCACCTTTAGAACCTTAGCTGCAAAATCAGGACAATTCAAAGTGAAAGCCCAGAATGGAGGTGAAGGCCCCATCTCTGGAAATACTCAAGGTCAGGCTCGACCAGGCTCTTAGGAACCTGATGTAGCCAAAAAAAGTCCCTGTGCACTGCAGGAGGGCTGGATTAGATGACCTTTAAAGGTCCCTTCCAACCCCACACATTCTATGATTCTGTGATTCTATGATTCTAATGATTCTAGTGATTCTAGTGATTCTAGTGATTCTAGTGATTCTAGTGATGTAATCTTAAAAGTGCTCTGAGTAACCTGATCTAGTTAAAGAGGTCCCTGCTCACTGCAGGGGAGTTGGACTAAATGACCTTTAAAGGTCCCTTCAAACCTTACATATTCTGAGATTCTATGATTCTAGAAAGCTACTCTGCCAGTGTCTTCCCACAAATGAAGCCAAGTTTGATGGAAGATAGAGCTCATACTCAAGCAGTTCTCTGGAAAAAAAACCCTAGTACAGACCTCTGTTACTACCTGTTTTGGAGATAACTGGAGTAGGAAGTAGTTTTCCTATTGCACAACATTGTTCAAGGCTTCACACACACTCCAGTTTACACTGAGGCAAATCCAAGAGCTTTTACTCCTGTCAAATATTTTGGAAAACACACATATACACAAAAGAATCTGAGACAGGAATGCAAGAGCAAAGTGCTTGTCAGTCAAGTAAGAAAATTACTTAGGCTTAAGTCCCTATTCTAAAATTGTATCTAATATTTTAATTTTAGCATAATGTTTACAGACTTACTTTAAAGTTCAGTTATCCCCAAAGAACAAGATACACACTCTGGAACAAAGGTTGGCATTTGATACAGCTCTAACAAAGGTTGGCATTTGATACAGCTCTAACAAAGGTTGGCATTTGATACAGCTCTAACAAAGGTTGGCATTTGATACAGCTCTAACAAAGGTTGGCATTTGATACAGCTCTAACAAAGGTTGGCATTTGATACAGCTCTTACCTGGCAAAGAGCAGAACTGACATTCAAATTGGAGTCTCCTGGATCTCAGAGGGACTGAGCTGTCTTGGAATAGATCTCCCTTGATTTAGCCAAGAATTGCTCTATCAAAACCTCCATAGATCCTGTGCTGGTTGTGGAAAATCCCTCTCAATGTACCAGTTCTGACCATGTGAGCAGTTACTCTACTGAAGGAGCCACACATCAAGCTGTGCTGATGAGATGCTGTGAAACCAGTGTTGAAACAGATGTCTTACTTTAAAAGCCTTGTACACTTAATTTTTAAAAGTCATATGCAAGTTCTTCACATTCAGAAGAGATCACTGCTATTGGAGTTGCACTGATTTATATAAACTGAGAGTTCTCCATACCATTACTACCTTTAAAACAAATGGATGATAAGAAACCAGTCTGAGAGGACAATGGAGACTTCACCACACCTGAGGAATGCTGAAAAATCCTTTGCTCAGCCTCTAAGATGAAGGTGATGGGAATGAGCAGAGCACCAATATGTCATGGGGTTTCATTATTGAGCAAGTAACAATTAGACAGGGAAGAGACTCTTTAGAGCCCTCAAGTTCTCCTTCTGGCCAGAAAAGGTCTGATTCCTCCAGTATATCCTCCATTGATTTGCCCTCTAGACATGAGGCACCAAACAAAGTCCTTTTACAAGTGCTATTTGTTCTATTTATTTGTAAGGAATTTACTGAAAGGCAGCTAAAAGATGCATTTGGAAAGAAATGCAAAACCTCCATAAAAATAAGGAGGAAATAAAGCCAACAATAAGAATTCAGCCAGTACTTGAGCTTCTTTTTGAGTTTGGTTTTATTTGTTTGTTCCTTGTTGTCTGGGTTTGGTTTTTTTTTCCCACAAAAGGAAAACTCAACTAAATAAAAGCCTTATAGAATTAATGAGAGTCAAATCACTATTAGACAAAGTTCCCTATGTTCAACAGTCCCCAAAGAATTAGAGAGAAAGAAAACAGATGTAAAGAATGGGAAGAAACTCTCTCTCACCCTTTGACACTTCTGTAGGACACAGGATAAAAAAGTCTTCAAGCACAAGACCTGGCCAAAGAGTGATCCAGTGGCACATGAGGAGAACCAGCTGTCCTGGCTAAGATTTTTATTCAACACATGAGGAGGTTACCCATTTTCAGAGCAACAGAAATGGAACAGGAGGCTTTTCTATGTGAAATCAGCCAAGGTCAGCTCAGAGCTACAAAGATGGTCAGAAGGCCAGTCTTGATTGGCCCAGGAAGAATTGAAATCCTCCTGAAGGCTCACACTTCTACAAAAAGAGTAAGGAGAGCAAAGAGGGACAAAGTATGCAATGTCTATTATGTTTGTAGTGATAGTCAATAAAAATTAAATAGGCTTTAAAATTCCAGTATAAAGTTGACTTTTTGTTTCATTAAAAATAGTAATTCCCCAATGACAGAAAAAAATACAGCAGAGACTGCCCACAACGTGGCATTTTGGCAGTTCAAACAGCAGCATAGCATGAGGAACTCATGACACTTCCAGCATTTCAGATCCCTAGTTTGGTCTCCAAACCAAACTTGGATTGGATTTATACAACCCTGAAGGATGTTTAACACAACATGCCCAGCACAACAGGAGTAGAAACTATCATCTGGTGAGCATCTGCAATGCAGCTGATTGGTCCCTGCTCAGTGGCTTGCTTGGTGGTACACAAACAACATCTCTGACTTCTGCTGGATGCTCTGAGGTGGAGCCTGCTGGGTTTCCTGAAGAGACCATATGGTACAGTTGTACAGGGGCAGGAGGGGTCATGGGCATCTATTTTCATTTTATAACCCTGCAAAGTTCTCTACCTAATGTGGATTAGGTCTGCTCATCTTAGCACTACACTCAGCATCCCTCTCTTTTAAAGCTTTTGTGGAAAAGGTGAGGAAGAAGCCACACAGCACCTGAACAAAACTGACTCTAGCAGCCAAAAAAAGTAATATGGGTGGTGAACAGGGTCATGGAAGTAGATTATCTCATGGGCATTTCTTCAACCTAGAAGCACTTAAAAACCATTCATAGATTCATAGATTTTAATGGCCAGAGAGAGCAATTCTGATTATCCAATCTGATCTCCTACCGTAAAATTTTATCCCATCACTCTTACATCAAGACCCTTGGCTGTAGCTGGACTAAAGTATTTCTTATAAAGACATTCAAATCTTGCTTTCAAGCTTCGAAGCAATGCCAAGTCCCTCACTTTCCTCAATAATCAGTTCTAATGGCTAATTATCCTCAGAGAGAAAGACTGAATTTGTTTAGCTTTGACTCCGATCTCCTGACGTCATTATAAGAATGTTAGATTAACAAGCCCCATGTTAGCTATTTGATGTCTTTCTTCCCACTGGGTTACTTAGACACCATGATCTAGTCCTCTTAGACGTCTCAAACAGAAGTTCAGATGGCATGAATTCTAAAGCCAGATTTGCAGACTTCAAACAGTTGTCACAGTCCTTCTCTGCATCCTCTCCAATTTTGCAAAATAGTTTTAAGTACAGGCACTATCATTACCTGCTTCACAGAGCACTCAGTACAGGGAACTCTTAACAGCAAGCACATCATCACAAACTCTACACGATCTCAAGAGGAGACACAAGGACAACCAGACGTTGCTCAAAAGCTAATTGAATAGATTCATGCAATTCTAATAAAGAATAAAAGCAGAAACAGGACTGTGGCATTTTTAAAAGGATGCACCACTCAACTTCAGGGTTTCTCAGGATAAACTCCACTGCAGCAGTTGTGATCGTGGCACAGACACTTATCAGTCAGCCCTAACCTGACTAATTTAGGTATTAATAGCACACACAGACTTGTGAGCAGGTTGCAAAGCTTCACACTGAGCCCCTGGTTTGGAGCAGAAGTGCTACTAACAATTCATCAATACCATTGTCAAGGTAAAACTCTCAGTGCTGGAGCAACCAAGACTGATGCTAATGCAGATATTTCCATGGGTTAACTTAGGGTTATATCCATCTGTAACCCAAGCATCACAGCCGAGGATGTTCAAGATGCCACAGTGGCCACAAGCCCAGGTCATAGCACTGGAGTTCTCTCAAGGAAAAGCTCAAGAATAAGGACCTAAGGATCCTGGCAGACACCAAGTTGAACATGAGTGGGATGGGAACTTGCTGGTGAATAGTATCCATGGGCTGCCTTATGCAAAGCACTGCCAGCAGGACAAGGGAGGTGATCCTTCCCCTCTACTCAGCACTGTTAAGGCCACACTTGGAGTACTGTGTCCAGTTCTGGGTTTCTCTGTACAAGAGAGACATGGCCATACTTAAGAGAGTTCAGCAAAGGGCCACGAAGATGATTAAGGATCTGGAGCACCTCTCCTATGCAGAAAGGACAAGAGAACTGGGGCTGTTTAACCTGAAGAGAAGGCTGAGGGAGCATCTTATTAATTTATATAAATACATGAGGGGAAGGAGCAATCAGGATGTATCCAGGCTCTTTTCAGTGATGGATCAGAGGTAATGGGAATAAACTGAAATGTTGGAAGTTCCTTCTGAACACTAGGAAACAATCTTTTATTGTGAGGGTGACTGAGCACTAGAAGAGGTTACCCAGGGAGGTTGTGGAGTCTCCGTCCTTGGAGACATTCAAACGTCATCTCGACATGGTCTTGGGCAACAAGCTCTAAGTTGTCCTGCTTGAGTAAAGGGGTTGGACAAGATGACCTCCAGAGGTCCCTTCCTACAATCATTCTCTGTTTCTATGGATCTCTCCACCTTCTGCAGTACATGGTTGTCCTTCACGCCAAGCAACATCAATCTCACCACTGCCTTCCAGTATCCCAGTAGACAAATATCTCTGCCAATCCAGAAGTGACTCTCAGTGGTTGATTTTCTCCAGTTCTGCTCTTTGAAAAATGCTATTGAGCTTGTGGTATCCAAGCAGTTAGCCAAAAAATCTAATTATGAATAACACATGTTTTAAACCACTGTTTGTATAAAATCATCTATCAGTTACTTCTCTGAAAAATAATAACAAAAATAATATTAACAGACATGAAGTTTACATTTTCCATTTTGCTTTTCGGCCCATTCAGAGCCCTCTTGTCTAGTAACTGAGATTCTGACAAACTACCAAAGGATCATAGATTCCTACAGGTTGAAGGGGTTCTCTGGAGATCTCTAGTGCTCAGAGCAGGCCCACTCAAGAGCAAGTTGGGTTTTGTAAAGCACTGAATATCTTGAAGGATGGAGATCTCACAGGCCCTCTGGGCTCCTGTTGCACTGGTGACCTCCCTGATGGCCAGAACACTTTTCCTTATATTGAGTTGCAATGTCCTACGTTTCAGATCCCTTTTGCCACTCATCCTTCTACTGTGCACATCTGAGAGGTTATGGCTCCACCTACATTACAGATTCCCATTAGCAAATTACAGAAAATGATGGGATTTCTGTGAATTCATCTTCCACTTTTGATTGACCAGTACCCCCAGGTCTTCACAACAGCTTTACAGCCAGCCAGCATCCCTCTGTCTTCTTGCACAGGATTATCCCAACCCAAGGTACAAAAGAAAGCATGAATGACTATTTTCCTTCTGATTCTACAGCAAGCTGGACACTTGAATAACTTCATGGAGCCTACCCAGAGCCTAAGTTAGCACCATGTTTTGGGGTAGCAGAGAGCAGCAATGAGGCTCACAGAGCCTGGGACAAGGTAAATCCATGTCGCAGGAGGTCCTGAACTTAAGATGTTGATAGTCAAAAGTAAACTAAAACCCACCAGTCTCTTGTAGTCATAGAAAAAATCAGTGCTTGAATTTTCCTGGCAGATGGAACATATACAACTCCACTAAAGAAGAGATGACTATGTTTTAGAAATTTTATTTTCCCATCCTTCATCTAGCAAAGATCCCTTCCTACAAGGACTGGGGCCTTATCCCCGGGATATGTGGGGAACAATTCCAGAAACAAGGAGGCATTAAATTCCTTTCCTTACACCTAGGCTAACCCTCTCTGTCAGCCAACCCCCATAGACACAGGACAGAACAGCCAGAGAAGCTGTCCAGGTGATTCAGAAGCAATTTCAAGGTCCACATTAAAATCAACACCCTATAATTTTAAATCCTACTCTGACACTAGTGTATTTTGGAGCTCGGATACCATGACATTAATTACCATTCAGCAATGTGAGGTTATATTTATCTGCAAAATGCATCTCTCCAGCCCAACTCAACAAAACTGAAGAGCCAGAATATGTCTCCAAAGGATAGAAGCACTCTGCATCTCCAGGGTGCAGGGAGACATGAGCAGGAATAGCCTCCCTGCTCAACCTCCAGAGTGAAGAATAATATAAGAGTTTTGATGCTGGTGTTTTTATAAGGGAGAGTGATGTTTTCCAAGCACATGTGACAGGCTTTGAGTGCAATAGCACTTACAACACATCAGAAAATGAGTCTGGCTTGTTCCACCTTTCTGTGCTGTAGCTGCCCATTGTAACAGATGACACAATTAAAAATAGAAAAGGATGTGGTCTCAGCAAGGATTGGAATGTATCTGTGCCTGTTTAGTGGAACATATGGTGGAATATTTTTACATCTTATAAAGAACTGTGTATGGGACATGTGCTGGTGCTTGTGAGATGCAGCAGCAGAAAAGCTGCATTAATATTTGCTCCCTGACAACAGGAGCTGCCACACACCTTGTACATGTACATGAACCATCAGCAGGACAGCAAACAATTGACTAGGAAAACTTCCATTATACTCACCATTGGAGTTAATTCGGAAGACATTGGCTGAAGTCTCCTGAAAAAGTTCTTGCAGTTCACTGGGATCAATCTGGGTGGCTGTGAAGACAAAAAAGGGAGAAGATACATTAATACTGAAGACCACTGATCAACCTGAAAGGGGCTCACCTCCCAGCTGATCCTTTGCAGGTTCCTCCTTGCTGCAGAAATTTAGCCTGAGTGAGTGGGCTGATGTAGCCTTACAAAATGTTTGATCACACAAGTTGCACTGAAGAGGCAAAGACCCATTCCAGCATTACCAGGACAGTAAAGATCCTACTGCAACAGGGCAGATACAGCCCATGTGGATTAAGGCAGAACTTGTAGGAATTATTAACTATTAGAACACAAATTATTTTTGCTCATTTATCACATAGGAATGTCAGAGTGATGAATGAATGAGAAACCACAAGCACAACAGCATGGTTAACCAGCACTTGCAAGAGCAGGAGGCCACACAAGGAAGACCTTCAGAAATGGGGAAAAAGCTGTGAGCAGAGCTGAGCTGCTCTGTGGGCTTCAAGCTTTTGGGGAAGGTTGGAGATGGGAGCCCACCTGGGTCCTGCACCACATTCATCTATTGGCCCCCAAGAGAGGCTCCACTTCTTCATATTTCTTCCATATAGTCCAAATACAATGGTCAAGAAGTCAGTGCCAAGAATTGCTGTTGCCACTGCCCAGGCCACCTCTTTGAGCTTTATTCCCAGCATCCTACTTTGGCCAAGGTACTCAAGTCTACCCTATAAGGAGAACAGTGAAGAAAGGCTTTAAATATTTGAGGGTTTGCTCGGGTTTTTTGCTTCTGTTTATCTTTCATTAGCTTCATTTTGCAACTTTATTCCCCCCCTAAACTATCCTGAGTTCCTCCACAGTTTCATCATCCCCAGAGAAAGAATGATGTGAAGCTGGGCTGTACTATGTTACAAAGGATACATCACTCAAATAAGCTTTAAACAGGAGCTGGTTTTCCTGATGGGGAATAGTCATAAAAAAAACACTCACTTATGCCTGTGCCTTTGTCACCAGCTTCCTGGCAGCAGCTTTACAGCAGATTTTCCCATGCTTTAGCCCTATTCTACCTCCCACTGACCTTGCAGGTTTCCCAGAAGCTGCTTTACCTGAATCTTTGGTCAAGTCCAAAAGCACTGCGGGGCTTGTCCACCCTCCATATTACAGTGCATTTAAAACAGCCATTGTTATTAGCAAGTCCTCCGAGCTGAAGCATCACAGAAAACTCAGAAAGGAGCTGTGATTCATATTTCCAAGTCAGCAGACTACAGCTATGACAGATTCAGCATTCCTCAACCAGATTTCCCTAAGCTGTTAAAACCCCACGTGCCCGACCTGCGTAGGGAAGAGCAGAAAGTCAGTTATGGAGAAAGGCAAAAAACCCCCCATGAATATGGAACAAAATGAGAAGCCTACTTGATGCACTGCTCAGGTTGATCCTGAGGATGCATCTTCCAATGCTTAAGGACGAGCTCCACAGCCAAACAGTGCAATCAGGGGATTTTCCACTGCTTCTCACACATCTCACAACACAGCAGCACTCGTGTGAGACAGCTCAGTCCTGCACCAGCTGTAAATAAATTCCTGGATCAGTCTGTCAGGTTGACACAAATCCAGGGCATTAAATGGTGTTTAATCCAAATGCACAGGGGCTTATTGCTTGAGATGTTACCACTCTCCTCTTCCTGGAGTTCCTCCTAAATCAGCTGGCCCAGACACTCCTTTCCTCTGTGTTATATATGAGGCCATAGAACACAAGAAATTAGCTTGGGCTCACCCGTCCCCCAGGATTTTCACTTATTACTAACAAGATCCAGCTTTCATTAAAACACTGATAAAAGAGCAGCACAGAGTAAGATTTTAGATCTTCGCAGACTGTGCTGAACCCACTTTTTGGAGGTTTTTCTTTGATTTTCAGGAAGCAAACACATTCTCAGGACATGATCTCAGCTTGGCTAAATTTCTAAATGCATATGCCTAGAAGAAAGTTCCACATATTTTGTGAAAAACTGAATTTGTCTCAACAGATTTTTAGCCTGGCCCAGTGATGCTGAGTCCTTACACACTTATGTACTGTGCTGAATGAAGCCTCAGATAAATCATGACACATGGAAATCCCTTCAAGTCCTCTATAATAAGCACCCAGCAAGGAACACTATTGCATTAAACCTCCCAAATTGTACAGACTGCAGACTTCAATGTGTTTCCACATGGGGAAATCCCTGCATATTCACAGCATCCAGCAGATACCTCTGAGGAGTTACTTAAAATGCCAAAACCACCCCAAAAGCAAAGATGAAATGCTCCAGATGTTGCAAAAGGTAGGAGAAGCCCCAGTTTCATTGCATGGACTGTGCGTGCCTGCACTTCAGAATCCCTGCAACACCCCAAGAGAAAAACACTGAGCAACACTATGTGTCCAGATGGGTCTGTAAATTTAAAAACTACCCAGAAATTCAGGTGCCAATTTTGGAGAGCAGGATTTCCCCAGCCTTCCCTGGGTAACCACGGGCAGGTCACTTTGCTCACCCTGTACCACATTTCCCTAATGGAAAAGAAGCAAAACACAACAGGAGAATGTGAGCATCATTCTCTGAAGAAATGGAAATTCTTAACCTTTTAAACCTCAACATTTTTATTTTAGGCAAATGCAAGAGAACTGTGAGATGATGAACTCCCCCTTGAAGGCTTGAAATCTCAATCTATAAATATCTATTAGATATGCTTCAAACAAGTGCATATTAAATAGAAAGAAAAAACAAACAACCAACCCAACAAAAACCAAAGGCAGATATAACCTTTGGCCAGAAATTCCAAATAATTACTTTGAAAATGCAATGCTTGAAGAATGACTTATCTGAGAAAACTGTATTGAATCTGGCTTGCAATTTCCTGCCCCTGGACTTTTTATTTCATATTACAACATGCTGCCAGTCCTGGTTTGATTTTGTTTTCATTTTAGAAAAGAAAATTAAAAAAGCAACAAGGAGGTTGTTTTAACTGCTCAAATTTCAAACTTCCACACATCAAGGAGACACGTTGTATCTATTCATGAAGGATTCAGCAGTTCAAGCAGACAAGCAAAACAATTTAAAAACAGCAGCAGAAACCAAAGGAAAAACACATCTGTACTGCCAAGCTAAGTGAAGACATACCAAGACTGCAAGAAAGTGAATGTGAAGTACATTTTTGTCTAATAAATAGTTAAACATCTTTGACTATGCAAAGTGAGTGATCAAATATTATGGTTCCCCAAGAAGGGGTATGAGGTTGCTGCTACCCAGTAAATACTTTGTATGCCTCAAAACCCTGAGAGAGTTCAGGGTCACAAGTGGGAAAAGGTGATTTTTACTTACACTGTGGGTATGAAAAGCTGTGAATGGCTGTGATGTGTATCTTATTGATTCTTTTGATATGTTATTGATCGTTTCAATATGTTACAAATCGTTTCTCCTCTGTTTCATTAACTGGACATTTCCATGTTTGCATTTTGTACTTGTTTTCCCCAGTTGCTTTCCAGCAGAATCCCCTTGGCAGGAGACAGGACAAGCCAACTTCCTCTGCTGTCAGCTCAGCCTTCTGCCCACCTAGCAGATAGTGCTGCCCAGTTATATTTATTACAGTTGCTGAAGCAGCAGGAACCAACATCAGCATTTTGACTATTTTCCTACTGTTTCTTAATTGTGTCTTCTTCTTGGAAAGCTACAGATGGGTGCAGCAAATGGAAAGGGTGAGCTTTTAAGGGCTTGTAGCAAGAGGAGAAGGGCTAATGGATTAAAACTGGAAGATGGGAGATCTAGATTAAACATTTGGAAGAATTTCTGTCTTGTGAGGGTGATAAGACACTGGAACAGGTTGCCCAGGGAAATTGTGGAACCTCCATCCCTGGAAGTATTCAAGGCCAGGTTGGATGGGGTTCTACTGGAAGTTGCTCCTGCCCATGCAGGGGGGTGGATCTAGATGATCTGTAAGGTCCCTTTCAACCCAACCCATTCTGTGATTCTATGATTAAGTACATGCTCTGTCACAGCAAAGAGTGTTTATATGTGCTTTGGCCAAATGCAATGAGAGACTTCAGCTGCCAATGTGATCTTATGGAAATGTGCAACCTGAGGTAGACCCACTGTCTCATAATCCACCTTGCTACACTCCTAGAAATGCATTTATTTGCTCTTCTTCTTGTTAATGTGCTTTTTTAAAAAAATTTATTGCACCAAAAATCACTTTGCTTCACAAGAGAAATAGTTTCATCCCATCAGGCTGTGATGCACAGTGAACACAGTGTGAGCTACTCCTTGTGCAATGATTCTGACAGTGGATTGAGGAGGGACAGAGAGGGAAGAGGAGGAGAGAATGTCATCAAAGCTGAACAGTCCCTATTCACTTCAATGCCTTTTCCCTGCTGTTAACCCTTCCTATCCTGTAATCCCAGCAAACTGCCTCAAAATCAACCTTCAAGGGAATATGCCCACTAGTAAATAAAGGAGTGGGAGGGAACAAGGCATCTTTCATTGTCAGCTGGCTGCTCAGCTCTTTATTGCCAAGACAAACTCAGGACTTGTTCTGGGGATAGTTTATCCCAGAAATTACTTCCTCCAGGCAGAAATCAGTGAGACTAAGCCAGGTTTTAATCCAGACATGTATCACCACCTCACACCTATCTGCTATGCAACCTGATAGTGGCAACTTGACCTCTGTGGTACCCCCAGCATTTTGGACTAACTGTAAAAAAAATAGAAATAAAACCAAAATTTAATCATAGAAACATTCGGGCTTGAAAAGATCCTTCAGATCATCAGTACAACCACAAACCTAACACTGCCAAGCACACCATGAAACCACATCCCTCAGCACCACATCTACATGGCTTCTAAATACCTCCAGGGATGGTGATTCCACCAGTTCCCTGGGCAGCCTGTTCCAGTGCCTGACAACCCTTTCGGTTATGAAATTGTTCCTAATCTCAAATATAAACCTCCCCTGGCACAACTTGAGGCTTTTTCTTCTTGTCCTGTCACTCACTACTTGGGAGAAGAGATCGACACTCCTCT